TCGTCCTGAAAACATTGACAATTTAAGTTAATTCACAACCGAGGAGGATCGCTATTTGTCACGACAATGGATCAATGTTTCTGGTCACTGGTCGATGATGTTGGCCACACAGTTGACTTGTATTCAGTTTCGGTTACAACGATTAGATTTCAAACAAATGGCCGAGTCTGACTGACAGAATAAAAAAATCTGTCCAACCACAACCATATTGTATAAAGTACTTGTACTATCATTTAATTTTGTTTCATAAATGAATACACATTATATTGTGTATTTTCTGAAGGAACAATGTTGTTTGTCATTTTGAACCTCATTTTAGAATGTAAGATGAAAGAAATGTATCTTCAAATAGCAAACTGCACTAAATTGCAAATCATTAGTGAATTTTGAACATATAACTCAAATTTGTAAAATTAAGTGAGTGAGAGAGTATGGTTTTACGCCGCTTTTACCAATATTCCAGCAAAATCACGGCGGGGGAAATAAAAAAGGGCTTCACACCTTGTACCCATGTGGGGAATCGAACCCGGGGCTTCGGCGTGACGAGCGAACGCTTTAACCACTAGGCTACCTTCGCCCCTTGCAAAACTAAAATTGGTTTTAGTAAAATTATACAGGGCTATACTGAAGCACCCTAAAAGTTCGGAACAGATGTTTACTTGGAGTTAATTTAGCAGTGTAAGTCTTAAGAAAGATAGAATCTTGCTACACGTGGAAGATGAAATTTTACTTGCCTGTTATAGGAATAATTGAGGAAAATAACAGCATCAACAACAGAGCTGTCCTCATCTTGTTTCTCAGCTAATCACAGATTCCCCCTCCCGGTCGATTCGTCATAAGTATATTGTGTATGATTTTGTTGCATGAGAACACAGATTTTATTACTCAGTGACAGATGGAGTGTTCAAGCTTTATGATCAGTCATCCAGTCCTAGCATCAAAGCCTTGTGGCTCACATTAAAGCCTTGCGGCTCAGTTTTATATTATTTCACGCAGCTGTTACAAAATTAAAAAGTTTTAAATCCCGCTTCCACACATTGGTCAAAGATATCAGTGTTCCAGATCACCAGACCCATCAGTCGTCAATAAATACCGCGAAGATGCAGATAAGAATTCAGCAGCCCATGCTTGTCGTAAGAGGCGACTAACGGGATCGGGTGGTCAGGCTCGCTGACTTGGTTGACACATGCTATCGTATCCAAATTGTAGATCGATGCTCATGCTGTTGATCACTGGATTGTCTGGTCCAGACTCGATTATTTACAGACCGCCGCCATAAAGCTGAAATATTGTGTACTGCCATAATTGTTACTTTGTTATACTTTTCATTGATTTGTAAAATTAGTTAATTTTACACTACAGCGGGCAAGGGGGCGTAACTCCAGGAATGTTCCCCATTGTATAAAATGTCTTTTTGTTGGTTTCACACCAATTCTTGTGCCTCCAGTTGGTTGGCTGGTTGGTTGTTGTTTGATGCCGCACTCAGCAATATTCCAGCTACATGGTGGCGGTCTGCAAACAATCGAGTCTGGACCAGACAATCCAGTAATCTACATCATGCGCATCGATCTACGTTTTTGCAAACAGGTGCCCGATACAAGTTATTGTTACCATATGTCTTCACATAACTAACCACACAACACAAAGTTCAGAATGTTTTGGATTACAGATTTTTTCTAAGAAATCACTGGTCCCTGAAAATATGTAGGGATTATAAGTTGCTGTTTTTTTTATAAAATATAGGTCGGGTAAAATGAGAAAACAGTGAAAATTCAAATTCGCTATTTCCCTTTTGGGAAACACAACAAACTGTTTGGAGTGCCAGTAAAAGTAGAGAACAGTTGCACGGTTATGTGCAAAATTAAGACAAAACAATAAGGATTGGGATATTTTGATAAATATAACTTCTAGTATTTAAATCGGTTATAGCAGCTTGTGGTTGTCTAAAAAATCATGACAAATATTTATCGTCATTTTGACATTACAACTGACTAACAGAAATGTGTTGAGTAATTTAAAGTTTTAATAAAGATAGGGTAATGTGTAAGGGATTTAAATACACGCAAGTGCCTTTGTTTCGTAACGGCTCCGGACCGCCTCCGTGGTGTAGTGGTTAGAGCGTGTTCGATCCTTGGCCCCGTCATACCAAAAGACGTTAAAATATGGTACTTGTTGGTCCCTGTCTGGCGCTTGGCATTAATGGGTACAAGAAGGACTGATCGGCTCGGAGTTAGTATAATGTGTCTGAGCTAGCGGTGTCCTCCCATAACGCAGACAGCCAGTTCGCAGACACCTTAAAACAACAACATTTACGGTCCAGTGAACAGATTATCTACTACCTGTTACCTACACAGTATAATGGAATAGTCCAAATAAAAACACAGGAACAAACTGAAGCTATATTATTATTTGAAAGATGGACGAAAAGACAGTAGTTTGAATTTTTTTTGCTGCGATATAAAACAGTTTATTTTCATAAACATTTAGGTTTAACCTTCTAGTCTAACGGGAGTCGGCATCATCATATTGAAAACATTAGCTTAGCTATTAGAAATTGCGACACTGTTGTATCATATGAATCAAATAAATACAAATGTGAACCTAAATATTTTTTATATGGAATATAGAAGTTATATGTTTTGCACACAATATTAAGATATATGACGAGTGCACTTAATTACGATTTATTTAGAATAAATATTTAAAATATGACGCATCGTGTCAATGTGGCCATGGATGTGAGAATGTTTTTCATTACTTCCTTGAATGTCCATTGTATACTACTCAAAGACATAAACTGTTACAATCTTTAGAAAGTATTGTTGAAATTAGAACACTGATTGGTATTAATCGTATCTTACATGGCAATGCAGGTGTCTCATTTACTGCAAATCAGAATGTTTTCAAATATGTACATATCTATATCTCTCCAACAAAACGTTTTCTCAGTTAACTTCTGTTGTACATATGCTATTATTGGGAGGGGACTTTTCTATCAATAAACACATTCAAAACTGTCAGTGACAAACCTGTTAGTAATTGATAGTAAAATCAATTTTGAGAAGAGAAATCATTTATCATTTAATGACTACAAAGTTCTACTTACCCGCAAACAAACTTCTCAGTAACGAACCTGTTTCAGGCTCACCCTGCTCTAATCACTAGAAAGTGGACTGTTCCATTATACCCGTAGGTGTTACCCTACTTAACCTTCTAGTTCAGTGTCTGTCAATTGGGTGCCTGTCAAATGGGTGTCTGTCAAATGGGAGATAACCGAGCTAGCACTATAAAACCAGCTTCAGTCTGGGCTAAGTACAAGCAGCCGCACATACACATACACACGCATGCACGTCGTCATATGAGCGAAATATTCCCTCACGTACGACCACAACCCCATTTCACCTCACCTCACATAACGGCATTCCCATTGAGTGTTTTCTATGACGATCTTGTGGGCGTTCTTTGGAGATTTTACGTGCGCTTTTCCACATGACGTATATTTCGTACACGGTCTAACGATCGATTTTGTGTTTGCCTCTGAAAGAGTTTGGTGTGTATTTATGTTAAAAAACTCCACCAGGGGTATGGTAGCAAGGTTGCATGCAAATTTAGACAACTGCCAAACGCCGCGTTGATTAAATCATGATAGGGCTCTCCAAGAATTTTTTCAGTTTGAGACATATATTTTTAAGTAATTCCTGTGTACCTTTATTTTGGAACTTATAACAACTTGAAAAAATATTCTATTTATTGCCTATTAAAGAAAACATTCCCATTTGCGATTCTTCAACCTTATTTAGAAATACACATTTGGAAATACAAGGTGAGCAGTTGGTTGTAATTAAGAATATGTTTTCAATAAATCATCATTATTTTACAAAATTCTTGTAAAAACAGCTATTCTGGAGAGCTTCAGCAATGTCAATTACTCATTCATGACCCGCTCATTTTATTTCGGGACTAGCCGAATACCGACTCGTGCCCTTCTGGAAGGATTTCATACATTCGTGACCCACTCGTGTTCTTCCGGGACACACCGAATACCGACTCGTGCCCTTCTGGAAGGATTTCATACATTCGTGACCCACTCGTGTTCTTCCGGGACCCGACTACCGACTTCTTCTGGAAGGACACCCACCGTGTTCTTCCGGGACATACCGAATACCGACTCGTGCCCTTCTGGAAGGATTTCATACATTCGTGACACCACGTGCCCTTCTGGAAGGATTTCATACATTCGTGACCCACTCGTGTTCTTCCGGGACACACCGAATACCGACTCGTCCCCTTCTGGAAGGATTTCATACATTCGTGACCCACTCGTGTTCTTCCGGGACACACCGAATACCGACTCGTGCCCCATTCGTCCCTTTCCGCAACGGAAGTTATTGCTCTTGTTTGAAGTAGTTCTGATATTCACACGCCAATATGAAATAATTCTAGACGGGCACGAGTCGCTATTCGACTTGATCCGGAATATCACGAGTATGTCACGAATGGTTGGAATTAAACCGAAATAGAGTTTTCGTTCTTGGCTGAAGTACTTCTATGTTCATGAATAGAGAAGAATATTATTATTCTTTCAGTGGGGGCACGAGTCGCTATTCGGCTTGTCCCGGAAAAATCCGAGTTAGTCAGAAATGAGACGACCAGGTAATGTCGGCTGGCACATGAACCATTTTGGGGCGTATCCTTACCTCGTCAACATCGACTATATGGTTTACTTCGTCCGAGGAACGTGATGTGCTGGTGATGTCGTGATGATGTCGTGATGTGCTGGTGATGTCGTGATGATGTCGGAGGTGTTTGGCAATACACATCATTACAAGTCACAGTCAAAACACTTTTCGAACTATTTATGAAGGGTTGTTTACACAGGTTTTTTAAATGATCCAAAGCACCAAATGTGTACTTTCTTTACATCAAGGGGAGGGGAAAGAACAATCAGTGGAGGTCACTCATTCACTAAGTGCTAAATAAATAAGACACATATCAGGAGGTTCACACTAATCATGTTTATTTCATCTGATGATCTTGGGTACATACGCACTCAAGCGCCTGGGAACTGTCTTCCTCCTGCTGAAGACAAAACACCATCAGCTGAAACAAGAAGAATGTTTCAATTGTTATTTGTATTGATAATGCAGGTAGAACGCATCCTCGATAATCTCCAGGATATACGTTAGGATAAATCTCCACTGGGACACTGGATGCATCTACGGCTCGGCCCGATAATTGCATTACCTCCCTTTGCTGGCTTTTTATCCAATCAGGTGTCTACGCTGGGAAGTTGAGCGTACCAGTCACAAAGCTTCCATCATAACTCACTTTCCCTTCTTTTATCTAACCGATTGGCAACACAATTTTTGCAGAGGTAGAAGGGTTTCTTGCATATATTTCATGATGGTTTCAGACCTGTCAATTTGTCTGTATGATTTTCCCCCTAAATCTGAGTCGCACAGCGAGCAAACTTTCGCGGCCGCTATCATTGTTGAAACTGACAAGCTCGGTTATAACGGCTTATCCGACTGGACCCGGTTGTATCAAACTTTAATAAAGCTTTAATCGTTAATTAAACTATGATTAGTTAATCACTGATTATCTTCAGTTGCATGAAATCCTTAATAAAGGAATCCCTTCATTAATCCATCATTAAGCTAATGAAGGCTTGGGGGTATCATTAACTCATCATTAGCTGTATCAACATGGCAGACAACATAATGTACCATCAACTTCGACGTCGGAGAAAAGAGAAACATTTTCGTGAACGGATTAATTAACCCCCACCGGGTGCCACAGGGATATATATGTCCTTCCTCTTTAACACTCACTTTGAAGTTCAATAAAATTCTAAATATATCACATATTTATATACAAATATACTTCACAGTTTTGAATTCTGCGGGGAAATTCCCTGTTTCTTGATACCATCCACTATTAAATCAGACAAAACTAAAGTGCTTAAAATAACCTTTCAAAATAGACTTCGTCGTGTCGCCATTTTTGACACAATATGTAATCGCGATTCACAGAGTTATTTGCTGTAAGTTTTGAAATGTGAAAATTTGACAATTACTGGGAATATAGAATTTCAAAAATAGCATAGTAATGATCACTGATATCAGTTTTTCATAAAATCACTAATGATAATTCTGAAACGTTGCCGATGAACCTAGAATCGTTGGGATGTTTTCGAAAATACACTTACACAAACGCCGAAGTGCGTTTTCCGCCATATTGGATACTGTTTACAAAATCACGTTTCGCGAAGGCCGGTATTGAGACACCAATTACTATACATCACGTATATTTCATATTCAGCTGCGAGAAATACATCACTGAATTCCCTATACATTTTGGAATCAAATTACAAATGGTCTTTGTCACCAATACCAACTGTCTAGATGAAATGAAACGAAAGATATTGGGGTGAAAACGAACATTGTACTCGAAAGATTGCACTTGTAAACAAAGAAAAAATCCGATTTTACACTGCGTAGCATTTTCTGGAATTGTCCGACACCCAGCCGTCCATTCTTTGCTTGCAATGGCTCAATATCTTTAGAATATGCATGGAAAGAGTATCGTGCCAAGAAACAGGAAATTAAAACAGATACAATGCAATGATTTGATAATTCATAAGAATTTATCAAGGTTTCCGTGCAGCGTGACGCCATGACTGATGCAAAATAACGCAGAACGACAACGGTAATTATCAGCATTTCTGGCTTCTTCTCTTATTTATCCAATGAAAACTATAAAAACATATAACAATACACAGAGGTCAGAATAATTCTGATTACTTACATCACATATTTATGTACAAATGATCCCTGAATCAAGGGAAGAGTCCTCGCCAAATCCTGTGTACCCTTGTCGCCATTTTGTAAGAAATCGGTCAGCGGTAGTGATGTCATACCTCAACCTTGTTGCACATATTAGGCAATTTCTTTGAGGTGAAGGTCGGCTGAACAAGAGTAAACACAATCACCCTATCTTTCCGATTACACTGTCAGTATTATGATGGGTATTTTGCGTATAGTTCAGATACTTTTTCATGAAACTGACTTCAGTATCTACATTTAGTTTTGTTCAATATCATATCATACGTGGATATAGGGTATACATTCCATGTTTTTTGAAAGTTTTTGATTGTTTGAATAATATTTACATAAGAAATTGAAACATTTAGTGTAGTAGACCATATTCTGTCTGAAAACACTTTTTATTTGCATTTTGAAACATGTTGTTCCATTTTGTATTGATTTCTTTGGACGTTCTATTGCTTACCCCAATGCTATTGAGCTCAGACATTATTTTGTCCCATATCTGCTTCTTTTTGTCATTAGTAATGGAGTTTGCTGTTTAACACACTGATATAATCTTCAACTAGGCCTGTATTTCACAACTTTCAAAGTTTTTACTGCGATTTCTGACGGCAGCCATTATGCAGACTATAGATGAGTGTTTACCTGCAATGCATCATGGATAATAATTAGGGGATTCCCCTAAGTTAATCATGGTTTAATGACGGGACCTTTATTAGAGGCATACTTAGTTAATGGGTGTTTAAATAAGGGTTTATACAACCGTATTTAAACACTTCATTAACTAATCAAACATTAAGAATTTAATCAATGATTAGTGTTTAATTGATGATTACATAAGTACGTGTTGATACAACCGGGTCCTGGCTACTAGTGGAGATTTATCAGAACATATACCCTGGAGATTATCGAGGACGGGTAGAATGATGGCACACAACTAACAATGAACTAGAGACAAAGGGTAGGCAGGGAGAATGTTGTAGTGGGTAGATGTAGGTAGATGGGCGGATGTGGTAGTGGGAAGATGTAGATAGATGGGCGTTTGTGGTAGTGGGTAGATGAAGGTAGATGGGCATATGTGGTATTGGGAAGATGTAGATAGATGGGCGTTTGTGGTAGTGGGTAGATGGAGGTAGATGGGCGGATGTGGTAGTGGGAAGATGTAGATAGATGGGCGTGTGTGGCAGTGGGTAGATGAAGGTAGATGGGCGTTTGTGGTAGTGGGTAGATGAAGGTAGATGGGCGGATGTGGTAGTGGGAAGATGTAGATAGATGGGCGTTTGTGGTAGTGGGTAGATGAAGGTAGATGGGCGGATATGGTAGTGGGTAGATGTAGGCAGATGGCGGATGTGGTAGTGGGTAGGTGTAGGCAAATGGGCGGATGTGGTAGTGGGAAGATGTAGGTAGATGGGCGGATGTGGTAGTGGGTAGATGAAGGTAGATGGGCGGATATGGTGAGTGGGTAGATGTAGGTAGATGAAGGTAGATGGGCGGATGTGGTAGTGGGTAGATGTGGGTAGATGGGCGGATGTGGTAGTGGATGTAGGTAGATGGGCGGATGTGGTAGTATAGATGTAGGCAGATGGTATGAGAGGTAGATGTAGGTAGATGTGCATTATGGTAGTGGGTAGAAGTAGGTAGATGGACGGATGTGGTAGTGGGTAGATGTAGATAGATGGGCGTTTGTGGAAGTGGGTAGATGGGCGGATGTTGTAGTTTGAGATGTAGGTAGATGGACGGATGTGGTAGTGTGTAGATGTAGAGAGATGGGCGGATGTGGTAGTGGGCACATGTAGATAGATGGGCGGATGTGGTAGTGGGTAGGTGTAGGCAGATGGGCGGATGTGGTAGTGGGTAGATGTAGGTAGATGGGCGAGATGTGGTAGTGGGTAGATGTAGATAGATGGGCGGATGTGGTAGAGTGGGTAGATGTAGAGGGTGGAGAAGGCAGATGGACGGATGTGGTAGTGTGTAGATGTAGAGAGATGGGCGGATGTGGTAGTGGGCACATGTAGATAGATGGGCGGATGTGGTAGTGGGTAGGTGTAGGCAGATGGGCGGATGTGGTAGTGGGTAGATGTAGGTAGATGGGCGAATGTGGTAGTGGGTAGATGTAGATAGATGGGCGGATGTGGTAGTGGGTAGATGCACAGAAGTGGTAGTGGGTAGATGTAGGTAGATGGGCGGATGTGGTAGAGGGTAGATGTAGGTAGATGAGCAGATGTCGATGGGGGTAGATATAGGTTGATGGGCGGGAGTTGGTTGATGTAGGGAGATGGATGAGGTTTTTAAGCGTTGATGGAAGGAGGTGTTCGACCGTCCGAAAGTTCAGAAAAGAACCTGTAAGGAAGGGGTTTGTGAATGAAATAACAAAATCGCATAGGCGCTCTGTGTAACGTGTGCGTTAGCTTCCACCAGGGAGACACGTACGGCATTGAATGCAGCATGGCTTTGGCCCACACACATAACAGTTGTAGCAAGGACGGCCAATGAACTTGTCACCCCGTCCAGGTCGGACTGCCCTAAGCTTCTGGGAATCCCTCTTCTCAGTTAACCCTGTTGGGGAAACAGTAGAACAAGAACATTTAACGGTGAAGTGTTGCCCTAAAGATGTAGGTAAAACCAAAATAAACAACATATTCTAAAACAGCAATCCTCAGCCAAGACCTGGTGTGTTTTGTATTCTTACTACATGTATTCAGTTTGGTTGGATTGTTTGTGAAAGACAATATCTATTCGGACTTTGCTTCAAGACATTACAATCGTTTGATCAGCATTCTAAACTTGGTGAGTCAAAAATGAAACGTACGTCTTTATGAATGACAACTTCTTGTTTATTGCATAGAGCATAGAAGTTGTCATCCATAAAGTTGTATGTTTCATTTTTGACATAACGTTCGTTTTCTCTGATATTTTTCAGTGAGTGAGTTTAGTTTTAGGCCGCTTTTAGCAATATTCCCTCAATATCACGACGGGAGACACCAGAAACGGGCTTCACACATTGTACCCATGTAGGGGAATCGAACCCGTGTCTTCAGCGTGACGAGCGAACGCTTTGACCACTTGGCTACCCAACCGCCCCTGATATTCTTTAAGACATCTGGTGAACAATTATCTTGGATACAATTGGCGACAGAAAGCAATTTTTTTCGGATCTAGGGCAATGTGAAGTCATCCATGTATAGTCTTCAAATTTGGCAGGTTAAAATGAAATATATAAGCAGGAAAAATTAATTATGATTATCAATATTCAAAGTGTGTCATCGTATTATCGTACGTTAATTTCTGTGATGGAAAAAAACGTTTTTATCTTCTCACACAACACACAAGTACAGGACGTTATTCACGGTGTGCTTCTAAATTATGTTCAGGACGCTGTCTTGTTAGCAATCCATGCAAAAACATGTCACAACTCACCTGTGGTGTGAAACATATTAATTTCTTTCAGACATTCTTGCCATTTTTGCTCAGAATAACGTTTTCGATATTTATCGATAATCGATCGATATTTAGTGAACGATAACCAATCTATATGATCTATATGTCACAGGTTGAATTGTAGCACAGCACCCCCAGCACATTTCACAAATTCACAATTTTGTCCCTAACAGCTTGCCATACAGTTGAGCTGGCTGCCAGCAGGTACATCTTAGGCTCTGGCACATGCTGCTTCTGCAGTCTGTGCACTCAGGTGATATAAAAGCTGCATGTGCTATGTGCCACACACCATGCTAGCAGTGATAGCCAGCCCAACTTCAAATACATGTATTGTGTAAATGGTTCTCACCTTTATAAAACCCACAGTAGTTACAGCATGGCGGGGGACCGCAGCACATCGGACAGAAGCGACCTGGGAAAATAATGACTAATTTCAATATGGGGCAGCGAAAGGACACGGTTGACTAACGTTGGACATGCACCTGCTGTTTTGAATGTTGAAAATAAATTGGAGATTGGTTGAATGAGCTGTTTACCTTATGAGGTGTCATCTGCTTTCGCAAAAAAAAAGAAAAAAAACCCTTATGAGTGGGTCCAACAGTGACTCAAGATTGGTCCAACAGTGAATCGAGATTGGCCCAACAGTGGTCCTTACCTGGCCCAACACTGACTCAAGATTGGTTCAACAGTGGTCCTACCCTGGACCAACACTGACTCAAAATTGGTTCAACAGTGGTCCTATCCTGGCCCAACACTGACTCGACAATGGTTCAACAGTGTTTCTACCCTGGCCCAACACTGACTTAAGATTGGTTCAACAGTGGTCCTATCCTGGCCCAACACTGACTCGACAATGGTTCAACAGTGTTTCTACCCTGGCCCAACACTGACTTAAGATTGGTTCAACAGTGGTCCTACCCTGGCCCAACACTGACTCAAGATTGGCCCAACAGTGGTCCTACCCTGACCCTACACTGACTCAAGATTGGTTCAACAGTGGTCCTACCCTGGCCCTACACTGACTCAAGATTGGTTCAACAGTGGTCCTACCCTGGCCCTACACTGACTCAAGATTGGTTCAACAGTGGTCCTACCCTGGCCCAACACTGACTCAAGATTGGTTCAACAGTGGCCCTACCCTGGCCCAACACTGACTCAAAATTGGTTCAACAGTGGTCCTACCCTGGCCCAACACTGACTCAACAATGGTTCAACAGTGTTTCTACCCTGGCCCAACACTGACTTAAGATTGGTTCAACAGTGGTTCTACCCTGGACCAACACTGAGTCAAGATTGGTCCAACAGTGGTCCTAGCCTGGCCCAACACTGACTCAAGATTTGCCCAACAGTGCTCCTACCCTGGCCCAACACTGACTCAAGATTGGCCCAACAGTGGTCCTACCCTGGCCCTACACTGACTCAACAATGGTTCAACAGTGTTTCTATCCTGGCCCAACACTGACTTAAGATTGGTTCAACAGTGTTTCTACCATGGCCCAACACTGACTCAAGATTGGCCCAACAGTGGTCCTAACCTGGCCCAACACTGACTCAAGATTGGTTCAACAGTGGTCCTAGCCTGGCCCTACACTGACTCAAGATTGGTTCAAAAGTGGTCCTACCCTGGCCCAACACTGACTCAAGATTGGTTCAAAAGTGGTCCTACCCTGGCCCAACACTGACTCAAGATTGGTTCAACAGTGGTCCTACCCTGGCCCAACACTGACTCAAGATTGGCCCAACAGTGGTCCTACCCTGGCCCAACACTGACTCAAGATTGGCCCAACAGTGGTCCTACCCTGGCCCTACACTGACTTAAGATTGGTTCAACAGTGGTCCTACCCTGGCCCAAAACTGACTAAAGATTGGTTCAACAGTGCTCCTACCCTGGCCCAACACTGACTCAAGATTGGTTCAACAGTGGTTCTACACTGGCCCAACAGTGACTCAAGATTGGCCCAACAGTGGTCCTACCCTGGCCCTACACTAACTCAAGATTGGCCCAACAGTGCTCCTACCCTGGCCCTACACTGACTCAAGATTGGCCCAACGGTGGTTCGACACTTGCCCAACACTGACTCAAGATTGGCCCAACAGAAGTTCGACACTGGCCCAACACTGACTCAAGATTGGCCCAACAGTGGTCCTATCATGGCCCAACAGTGACTCAAGATTGGCCCAATAGTGGTCCTACCCTGGCCCAACACTGACTCAAGATTGGCCCAACAGTGGTTCGACACTGGCCCCACACTGACTCAAGATTGGCCCAACAGTGGTCCGGCCGATACTGGCCCAACACTGACAAAAGATTGGTTTAAAAGTGATCCGACACTGGCCCAACACTGAATCAAGATTGACCCAACAGTGGTCCAACATTTGCCCAACACTGGTCAAGCACCAGATTCAGTGCTGCAGATGGTGTTGTTCATGAATCATACGCGACTGAATGTCTATTGCTTATACCGGTTGAAGCCCCTGAACCGACTGAACCATCTGTGTTACTCTTTGTTGAATAGAAATGGACATGATAGTCACACTATTAAATAAAGAAACAATTAATTTTAGTTTAAACATGTCTTCCGCTACTACATTAGTGGAGATTATTGGTCAGAATCGGCAAAGATCGTCTTCTATTCTTCACATGAAGCCAAGGCGTGGAACCCAGTTATCGATAGCATGAACACGTTCTCATGGCCTCTCATATGAGATACATAAAGGTCAACACCATACACATGCAGTGTGAAAAATCGTTTCCAATGTTTTCATCGCCACTCAGGCTAGCTATGCCTGGAAGTTACTAGCCAGGAACATAATTCAATAGCCCGAAAATTTGAATGTAGACACGGGTTTCATCATTAAGCTGAGAGTGATACATTTACAAAATGACCCAACGAATATTCAGTAGCCCGTCGATCCAGACATTTACCACCCGATTGGATTTTTACTAGCTACGGGCTAGCGGGCCAGTGACTATTTCGCACACTGTTCACATACCAACTGAAGTGGCCATCAAGTCTTCACAGTTGTCATGGGGCGGTGGGGTAGCTTAGTGTTTAAAGCGTTGGCTCGTCACGCCGAAAACCCGGGTTCGAATTCCCACATGGGTACAATGTGTGAAGCCCATTTCTGGTGTCCCCCGCCGTGATGTTGCTTGAATAATGCTAAAGGCGGCGTAAAACCAAACTCAGTCAGTCAGTCAGTCACAGTTGTCTAGTTATCATAAACATCTTACTTATTATGTGCCAAGTTTTGATTGCCTGATAAAAGCTCTCGTCGATTTATATCGCCCATACTGGACCTGGTTTAAGTGGTTTTTTTCGTTTGACATTTGTGTCACGTAGAATTTTGTTCATAACAAAATCGTGCCATCTGTCGACAACCTCGTGTTAACACCCTTGCACAGCTCAACACCTCGTAGTATCACGCGGCAATCGGCGAGAAATCCTACCAGCGGGACATAAATCAGCCCGAGGGATCACTCTGACAACAGTGAGCGTGTGAGTGAATGTTTTAGCAATATTCCAACAATATCTCGGCGGAGGACATCAGACATGGGCTCCTCGTTTGTGGGGAATCAAACCTTGTTCTTCGGCGTAACGAGCAAACGCTTTAAGCACTGGGCTACCCTACCGCCCCACTCTTTGGCAACAGTTTATTGCGAATAAAAGTTTATTTGTTGATTAGTGAGCGGGTGAGTGAGTGAGTGTGGTTTTACGCCGCTTTTAGCAATGTTCCAGCAATATCATGACGGGGGACACCAGAAATGGGCCTTTGTTGTTTAGCATCCAATGCAGTTTTCACAGCAGTTGCATACTCCATGCGTGTATTAATTGGCTACCGAGTGCCCTGCAGGCTTCTGATTGGTTGATTGTATGGATACCGTTAGGTTCTTCTTTCATCTACCCTAAAAGATCGTTTTTTAAATTAAAGTTCCCGATTTTGATGATCATGATGCTAATATTTGTATATCGCAAATATCGAGCTCAGCAGGTCAAAGGCGCTTTGCTTTTCCCCTCGATCGCTAGATGTCAATCTCAAACGGCACATCGTATCGTCAATCTCAACTCCCTGGGGATCATACAACATTTAGCATTCATTTAACACTTACAAAACTGTCTTGAATTATGTACCCGCGTTAACGGTAGATTAGTTCAAGAGGTTAAAATGATATTTTTGTTGTTTACTGAAACGCAGTGTATTCAAACTTCGGACGTTTTGTAAGCGCGCTGTTTGATTAACTGGGATTTCTCGAACACACTGTCAATCGCAGAATTCATTTAACGGAAAATGTACCATGGAAAAATGATAGGACGCAAAATAATTGAATTTAAAAAATCTTAAAACATCAAATATTTACATAACAGAAATGTTTAATCAGCAATTGAGAAACAATCAGAACAGATGCACGAAGGACACGTTTTGTAGAATCAGTGACACTTAATAGTTATCATGAAGAAACCACATACATTATTAGTTGTAACAGTGTCAAGACGGGTATGTGTGGCTTTGTACAGTGTTTATACCTTGGATAGGACTGTGAGTGGTATAAAAACCTAGCGTTAAACACATAAAATCCCATTCTATATATATTTACCTTGCCGACACGTTTTTATCTGCCATTTAGAAAAAAATAATAATCAGTTGTAAATTTATAGAAAGCAGCTGTTGAAATAAGCTGAGATTATCCTGTGAGGTTTCGCTTGACTTTCGTTGTTTTGTAAACAAAAATGCAGCTTTTCCTTCCTGGCAGGGTTAAGGATTTATTGCCCCTCCTAGAAATGCTCATGCAGTATGTTTAATTCATGGGGTCCGCCTCCGTGGTGTCGTGGTATGGGCGTCCGCCCGGAGAGCGGAAGGTCGCGGGTTCAATCCCCGACCGCGTCATACCAAAAGACGTTAAAATATGGGACTTGTTGTTCCCTGCTTGGCGCTCGGCATTAATGGGTACAACAAGGGCTGGTCGGCTCGGAGTCCGTATAATGTGTCTGAGTCGGGTATTCATGCTTCACTGTGGCATGGTATCTCAGTGGGCTAGCACTATAAAACCAGCTGAAGTCTGGGCTAGTACAAGCAGCCATATATACACACGCATGTACGTCATCATATGAGCGAAATATTCTCAAGTACGACGTTAAACCCCATTTCACCTCATCTGATTCGTAAATATATTCTGCGGCCCAGACGGGAATACAATGTATATGGAAAGGCTAAATACCAGTATCAAGGAAACTAATCAGATAATCTCCCCTTTTTAACACAGCTGGAGATGCCTCCGCTCCCAGAAACATTCCACGCACACGCACACGCGTGCGCGTGCGCGCGCGTGTGTGTGTTGTGTCTCTGTGTGTGTGTCTGTCTGTCTGTGTGTACATATATAATTGCATGGCATTAATACGCATTTCAAACAATACATATTCCAATTTTGTTTTTCCACAACCAGTACATTGGGTAAAGTACGTATATGAGGTTTTTTTTATTATCTTTATGGTTTAATTAAAATCTACACAGACTTTCATTCACAACAGGATGTTTCACTTCGTTATTAAATGAAAAAACGACATACTGTAAACTATAAATTTACAATAAAATAGAATCCCTGAGTATCCAACTTAGTTTGAGATTGCTGTTATAAGAACCATAACATATATTTTAGGGACTTATGATGTAGAAATAGGATCGACATGTACAATTAGTGTCACTAGGGATAATCTACAACATAGAGTCTTATAGCCTCCCTGGTGTCACCTACTGTCAAACACTTAAGTTCACAATATATTGCAATACATACAGTGTGCGAAATAGTGTCCAAATTTTGCTAGCGCGTCGGGCTAGCTATGCCTGAAAGTTACTAGCCCACAAAATTTGAATGTAGAAACAAAGCAAAGGATTACAAAAATAGATGAGAATAAGATATTGTCGGCATGACACAGGTTTCATCATTAAGCTGCTAATATGATGGACATTTTTATCAGGCCACAAACTTGCATGATTTAAAAGCGTTTTACAACTTCACAAGTCGGAGAGAGTGATAGATTTTCCAAAATGGCCCTATGAAAATTCACTACGCAGTCGGGCCAGTGACTGTGGAGATTTACTGTCCCGACTGGATTTTTACTAGTATAGCCACGGGCTAGCGGGCCAGTGGCTATTTCGCACACTGAATACATATCGCTGTCCGCTGTAATTTGACATCTGATTATAGGTGCAATGCCTTAGCAACCAGTGCATCGTTGGCCAAAGCGCGAAATTTTCTTTGGCAAAGGAGGATGTTTCTTGTGATAACATTAAACAATCTTCGATCGGTATTTGTATTGACAAAGTTTCGATAAAGTTTCTTCCAAAATAGGAATGTCCTTCCCTCGTGTAAACATGACGGATGTTTTTACATGGACGAAACCAGTTTAAAAATGAATGGGTGAATATTAAATGCTGCTTGAGTGGAGTAGAGTCCAGAACGTTCAGAATGCTCCCTAAATATATACATATACTCACTTGGTTTGCTCTTGATTGGTAACAGTCCTGAAAACAAGAAACATAAAAGATATTATAAAACTTGGCAGGGAGTTCTCAACCACGGTCAACGACATCTGAAGATCTCCCCCTCAAGCATCGTCAGCACTTGTGATGTTCATTTTTCCATCACAATGGAAAACTATTTCAAAGTTGTACCAATGACGGATATTTTTCATAACATCAATTCACCTTTTAATAAATTTTTTAAACTTATTGACATATTTTGTTGTTTCTTATAAATTTGTAGTGTAGTGTAGTAATTAAGTGCGATTGTTTGTGACTCCGCGATCGCGGAGTTCTATTGTTTTGTTTATTTTGTTTAAAAACGTACATTCAACCGTGAAAATTTTATAATGTGGACTTGATTTCAATTTTTTAAGATAAATGAAACAATACTGTCCAAAAAGAAAAGGATAAAACACAACAACGGCTAAACATTGTAGGCATAATTCAGATTTGTAAATGCATATGGGTTTATAAAATACAGTTATACAGGTCTATACATCACCAGCATCATATAATTGAGGAATAATATATACATTTGCAATAAAACTTTAAAAAGTCATGACAGTTCACTATAAGGAACCTTTGTACTTTACAACCCGTGAAAATCCGGGTTAGAATTGATCTTCAGTAACCCATGCTTGTCGTAAAAGGCGACTAACGGGATCGGGTTGTCAGGCTCGCTGACTTGGTTGACACATGTAGAACGATGCTGTTGATCACTTGATTGTCTGGTCCAGACTCGATCATTTAGTGACCGCCGCAATATGGCTGGAATATTGCTGAGTGCGGCGTAAAACTAAACTCACTCACTTTGTACTTTGCTATGTAATCCTTTTTAAAAATAAATTCAACAGCACAACGATTATGGAAGTAAGCACCCTGCGATGTTGTGGAACCTCTACTAACCTGTTATAGGAACAATGCAGGCGAACAGCAGCATCAACAACGTAGACGACTTCATCATGTTCTGTAATCATCGACGATGTCGCTGACTATTTATCACTGGTCATGTCCGGGACGATTCGTCAGAGGCAGCACATGGTTACTGATGATCATATCGCATGACAACTTAGAGTGTTTACACCGTTACAGATGTGCATGACATGATGCAGGACCAGTGAACTCGTCCTAGATTTTGTCAAATTGTCGCCTCAAGCTCGCTGTAGTGATCTAAACGCAGACAGATATAATCGACATACACCGGAAACATCCAGGTGTTCATGTTGTCATTATAACGAAGACGTTATTCACTACCTTTTTACATGTCGTAACTATCAAATTTTAAGAACAACTGTGTATTTATATGTTCAAGGATACGATGTCGAGACTACTTTATACGGTAACGGCGCATTGGATAACTCTACAAATAGTGACATTCTCAACTCAGTACACCAATTCATTTCTAAAAGTAACCGCTTCCAGTGATTATAACCTCGACATATATATTCAATGTAAGACAAGTTTTATATAACTTGATTTTCTGCGGCAGCTCATTTCGTTGCTAGGCATAACCTACACCATAACGAACATATGCATTATTCAATCATTTATCTGTTATTTTGTTTCAGTAGTATTCTTTTGTTGTCATTTAAGAAACTCCTTGTCCAACTTGGAACGTATGTGTGAACTAAATAAGAAAGATTTTTGGAAAGAAATAGGGAGTGAGTGAGTGAGTTTGATTTTGCGCCGCTTTTAGCAATATTCCAGCAATATCACGGCGGGGGACACCAGAAATGGGCTTCACATATTGTACCCATGTGGGGAATCGAACCCGGGCCTTCGGAGTGACGAGCGAGCGCTTTACCCACTAGGCTACCCCCACCGCCCCGGAAAGAAATAGGGCGTTCTGGAGTGAGTAATGAGCGACAGAAGTCGATTCCTTTTGAGGTAGTGAACTCAGAGGGGGTGGCATCGTATGAAGAAAATGATGTACTATGCAAATGGTCGGAGGATTTCTCAAAACTTCTTAATGGTGACAATCAAGACTCTCATGTAGCCTCAGTAGAGCCGACTACAGATTATATTCCACTCTTTGAGGATCAGATCTCCCTGTTTGAGATTATTACAGCTATTCATAAGGCAAATACTGGTCAAGCAGCTGGAGTGGACGATATTCCAGTTGAACTCTTGAAATCAGACAGTTTAAGGAAGTGTCTGCATACTCTATTTAATTGCTGTTTTTCAAGCGGTAAAATCCCACCTCTATGGACAAAGGACATTATTCAACCAATACCTAAAAGTTCCACTCTAGATCCCCGGGACCCGACATCATACAGAGGTATCACCCTAACCACTGCTATGTACAAGCTTTACTGCGGGGTGCTGAATAACAGGCTGCAATAGTGGGCAGAGACTGACGACATTCTCCACGACGCTCAGAACGGATTTCGGAGGAAGAGATCATATGCAGTCATTAACGTATATTATAGAGACACGTAAGTCAAGAAGAAAATCAACTTATGTCGCGTTCATTGACTTTAAAAAAAGCTTATGATCACATAGACAGGCATATACTGTGGAATAATCTAAGTACGCATCAATGGATTACACTCACCATGGTTCCCAGTCTCAAGAGGACTAAAACAGGGCTGTTTACTCTCTCCCATTTTATTTAATCTATTTATTAATGATCTGATTGTTCTCCTTGGTAAAAGTGGATACGGCGTGACAGCTGATGACTACACCGTGCCATGCCTAGCTTACGGTGACGACTTATGTCGGATCGCGGAGACTGAAGAAAGGCTGAACCAACTGTTATATTTACTAGATGGATGGTGCATGTCAAACAGACTGAGTATAAACCTGCACAAATCCAAGGTAGTTCACTTCCGTCCTAACTCTATCCCACGTACAACAGCTACCTTAATTCTCCCTGTCCAGTGGACCACTTGAAGTCGTCTCAGGCTACATGTACCTCGGCCTCCTGGTGACAGAGCACATGGACTATAACGCAATGGCTAAGAATGCAGCGAAATCCGCCAGCAGAGCACTGGGTCTCCTCATAGCGAAATCGAAATCTATGGGAGGTATGCCTTTCAAGACCTACAGCAAACTTTATGATAGTATGGTGTGGTCAACACTTGATTATGGTAGTCCGATATGGGGGACACATCACGTATCAGCTGTTGCTGCCGTTCATCATCGAGCTCAAAGATTCTCTCTCGGACTGGGTAAATATGCATCAAATGTTGCCGTTAATGGGGACACAGGTTGGATTCCGTCCATAGTGAGACAATGGACGAGTGTTACTAGACAATGGTGTAGACTTAACAATATGCAAAATAGGCTGAATAGTATAATTTTGTTTGGGCCGAACAAAATGCGCAATCTGCAAACAACTTGAACCGATGAGTATCTAAGAAATTAACTTCCCTGGGTTTTCAAGAGGTATTGCTATGTAACAGTCATATACAGAAACGTAGCCTCTGTTCTATGGTCCAGGAACGTCTTATTAATGATTGTATCAGTCAGTGGAAAGTTGATAACACGTCAGAACGGCGACGTCAAGGGAGTAGCAAGCTAAGGCTCTATAACAAGTTCAAGTCAGTGTATACTGCTGAAACATACCTACTGAGACAAATGCCTAAATCTTATAGATCTGCACTATCCAAGTTTCGCTGTGGCGTTGCTCTTATCAGGATTGAAACCGGGAGATATGAGAAGATTCCACGTGAAAACCGTACTGTAATGATGTTGTTGAAGACGAGGCACACGTCATTCTTCACTGTCCTATATATAATGATATCAGATCTTACCTCCTGAATATGTGTAATGGTAAATGTCCTGGTTTTATTAATATGCCAGATATAGATAAACTGACCACCTTTCTTCACTTCAGTGATATTTATTTCGTTGCAGCCAAAACCTGACAAGGAATTCTATTGAAGCGTCGTCAGACGCTATATGTATAAACTTTTTATCTTTTTACTGCATTTTAAACCGTTTTATAGTCTCCCATAACTCCTTAGAGGAGTGGTGCTGTTTTATGCGTGTATATTCCTTTCATGAAAAGATGTAAAAGTAGAGAGACTGAAATAAACTTTTGTCTGTCTGTCTGTCAAAATATTTCAATTATGTATCCAGCTATTTGAACAGTGTGCCACTAGGCGTGTTAGCCTATCCAGGTTTCTGCTTTGACGAAATAAAAATATGTTTAAACCACTCGTCCTTGAGGCTGAATGTTCCATGGCCTGACAGTACCCCACCCGCCACCGTGGATAGATCTATGCTTCTAGACTGGGATTTCTTTTGTATGGAATCCTACAAGGTTGTGTCATCAGCTCTCAGCTATTAAAATTGCACGCTCTCCCTGTTTGGTATGAACATTCGCGACTGTTTCAGAGGTTACATAATGCATTGTCATTGTAGGAGCAAGTGAAGAGTGAATGCAACCTTTTGCCATCGTCTTCCTCCCACGAAGGCGAGATGCTCCAACCTCCAAGACAGATACGAGGCCACCAGGAACAGATTGAACCGTAGGGACATCAGCGTCATTGTGTTTGCCGACACAACTTGTTTCGTTTCCTTATAATTTCACAATCTAGTATTGCCCGAAGTCTTGCAATCACACACTCTGTCTATTGTCTGGCGTTAATTAGCTCAGTAACCAATTAACACGAAGTGGACACTTTTTTCTGGACTGTTTTTACACGAGACAGACTGTCCACGTCCCGAGAATACGCTCTCTCGGCAGGGTGAAGCCAACGGATATTTTCGGTAACCGTTGGGGTCATATACGGATATTGATGCAAATTAAGGAGGTCATATGCAAATTTTAGGGACTACTTTCACAGTGTAAACAAATGTCACGCGAACATTAAAGTGTATTTGTTGTTCAAAAGGTTGAGTAAAGGTTTCTGAAGTTCCACACGAGTTTGCTATTATTTTTCAAACGTAAGCTAACATTTGTTGACAAGAATACGTGCTTTAACATAAACACTTACTGAGAATTCTAGCACGACAATGTGTGATACTCGATTCTGATTGGCTGAGAGCTCATCAAAACCGTACTTAAATGACAGTTTAAGGACCGCTAATTAAAGTGACCGATTCACCGCGTATGAATACAACGAACTCGTTGACCCTATTGTTTGTAAACAAACATGTCAGACATCGGCAATTTCTATCTCGGCAGCATCTTTGGTGTTTTTGAAGTAAAAAGCGAATGGTTTGAAAAAGAATTTCTTGACCCTAATCCCAGTGAAGAAACTACGAAGCTGGAAAATCCGTCAGCAGCGCAAAAGCGGCAGTATATTCAAAGCGGGTCCAGATTTACGTGTGTTGACGTCGACAACACACGTCGGCCCACACGTCCTACCCTGACCGCTTCCGTCCCGGCCGTAATGCCCAGTCCTTCCACTTCCACTGTCCATGTATCCCACATAAAACGTGGCATGTCAGGTCTTTTCCAAATTGGGAATAGTTGGGTGATTATCAACAATTATTTCCGTGAATAAAGTTAACGGCGACTAAACTTACCGACTTCACGGCTTGCATTTGGGTGAGTCGATTGTCACACAGTAGGGGAGATCAATAATTCGCTTGAGAAAAATTAAATAATTTTACTTGCTCACAGTATAAACTTTTTTTTTTTATATTAATGCATGCTACTTGTTACAGAAACAAGCATACTGGTTCCTGAAATATAGCATTTATGTTGATAGAAATGTCTTAATTTGTTCATTACACAACCTGTCCCTCAACGGGACGACTCGAAGCGATTTCCCGGAAAAAGGCCCCTTTGCGCCTTGTGTTCTTGCGCGCCAAACAGTTCGGTTTTAAAACGCTTATCAGTCGTGCTAGAATGAAGATAAAGCTACTCTGTTTTCAATTTTGCGGTCCTTTATAGTTGATTTAAGACCGCTAAATGTTTAATTTAAAACGTCACGCTAACGCGTTCGGTTTTTAAATTACATTTAGCGGTCTTAAATCAACGATAAAGGACCGCAAATTGAAAACAGAGTAGCTTTATCTTCTAACTAGATCACCTAAAGCAGTGAATTGAGGCACCGAGTTTGTGAC